CTGGAGGGAGCGTCGAGGGCGACGGGCTACCTTGCCATCCGCGGGCGCAGTCAGTGAGCGCTAGAACGACATGAGCGATGCGCATGCGACGTCGTCTACCGGCAGCGGATGGTGCTGAATGGGCGCAAGGCTGCCCTCGGAGCGCTGCGTGAACATGGTACTGGGCGGGCGAAGCGGCTGGAGGCGCACGACGGCGCGGACGGCTTCGACCGACGGGCCAAAGACGCGGTCTTTTCCGGAGCCTTTACATGGCACGTCGTCAGCTGCTGGGTTGTCCCGGGTCCTGCACGCGCCACGTGGTGTCTCGGTCTCGATGGCCATGGTCGTCGTCTTCCAGCGCTCTCGAAGCAAGGGCGATGACGATCGCTGCACCTACTTGCAGTCGATCGATCCGACGGCAAATAAGCCGGTTGCGCACCTCGCATCTCGGTCCCACGTCATCCAATTCACAGAGCTACAGTCGTTCTCAGGACCAGGGTCGTCGTGTGCGTGGCCTTGACGTACCGGCGGCAGCGAGGTGTCTTTGACGCTCTTGGTGGCCGTCATGCCGCTGGCTCGAAATAGGTACGAACGAACGTTCGACGAACTTCCATGTATCTCCTGATCGCTCAACGGCTTGCTGCTGCGTTGCAGTACGCTCGCAGACCACGTAGCCGCTTTCATTGACGCTGCGTTAACTGCGCGACCGAGCCTCCTCTCGCCAAGAGGCAGAGAGCGGAGAAAGATCTCTCCGCATGACCCGGACATGTGCTTTCTGCGGCTGTCGACAGCGCAGCTGCGTCCTGGCTCGACCGATTGATGAAAGCGGCAGCGCGATCCGCGGCGCCTATCACCTGCGTCGCAGCAGCCGGCGGATGATGCCAGCGTCGCCGTAGTGTGAGTTACGCGGCTGCATTCGACACGCAAGCAGCCGACTCGACGGGACGCGACGAAGTACAAGTCGGTGTTTTTATAAGGTTACGGGAACGAGGGGTGGGGTGGAGGGTCTACTACCCTTCAACTAGACACGCAATCTAACTAAGCTAATGTACAGGAACGGGGCGTCGACGGCTCAGTGGTCGTAGTAAAAGTCGTTCATCAAGTCCGAGTGGCCGAGGACCGCGCCGTCCGACTGCGACCGCGAGATCTTGGGCGCCCCCGTGCGGTCAAACGGCAGCGGCTCGTACTGCGGGATCGCGTCGCGGAGGAGGTCGTGCTCGATCTTGAAGCCGCCGTTGCTGTTCTGGTACTGGCTCGTGATCGTGAGCCCCGAGCTGTAGCTACCGCCGTGATGGTGGTGGTACGTCGACGATGGAAACTGCGCCGGCGGCCACGAGTACGACGACGATCCATTCGATGCACTCAGCGGCGAGTCAAAGAGGTTGAACTGGAGGCGGCCGGCGCTCGAGGACGACGACTGCGGCACCGCAATGTGCATGTTGTTGGGCGTGTTGAAGCTGCGCACGCTAAAGTCCGACTGGCTGCGCATGATGGTTGGGAAGCGCGGCTTGTCGGTCTTCCACTTGGCTTGGTGCGCGGCCTGCTTGCCCGGCGACGAGAGCGACGAGATGATGTCGTGGTCGAGTTCGTGCTGGCCGTGGTGCTCGCTGCCGCTGCTACCTTGCGTCGACGGCGACGACGCGACGTGGCTGCGGTGCGTCTTCATGTGGCGACCGAGGTTGCCGGAGGTGGAGAACTTTTTGTGGCAGCCGTCGACCTTGCACGAGAACGGGCGGATGCCCGAGTGCGTCTTCATGTGGCGCGCGAGCTTCTCCTTCGTGCAGAAGCGCTTGGTGCACATGGCGATAGTACAGCCGTACGGCTTCTCGCCCGTGTGCGTAAACTTGTGGCGGCTGAGGTTCCCGGACGTCGAGAAGCTCGAGGTGCAGCCCTCGTAGTCGCAAATGTACGGGCGCGCGCCCGTGTGCGTCTTCATGTGCTCCTTGAGCGTGAACTTGCGGTTGAAGCGCTTGCCGCAGCCGGGCTCTTCGCACTGGAAGCGGCGCTCGCGGCGGTCCATGGTCGGCGGCACGTGCACGGTGAGGAGCGGGTGCGAGTACGCCGACGTGTGAAACTGGGGCAACGTGAGCGCCATCGTACGACCGGCTGCTTTGTCCGTTGTAAATGTGATAATGCAGTGTAGAAGCTCGCCACGCCGCTTGCTATCGAGACGCTACCAGCTGGGCCATCACATCTCGGGCTGCCAGCG